CATCGCAACTTTACCCATTCCTGTTTCAATATATCATGGGTCAGCATAAGAAATTAAATGGGAATTTTTTTTGGAGTTTTGCAAAAGCCATGCGAAGGCCAGCAGACAATACAGAAAAAGTTTAGCAATTCAGAAATGCATAAAATATATATATAGTATTGTATAGCATAGCGTATTTTATCTTTTAATACCATAAATATATATAATTTCTTTTTTAAAGTTAAAATATGACCAAATACTTAATCCACATTTTACATTAAGGTACTGTAAACACCCCACAAAAAAGAAAGAAAAAAAATCTGACTTCTCTGGCACAAAGGGAAAGTCAAAAAATTTTACGTGGATTTTGCAGATTATGGTGTCGCTGCTGTGGAAGGGATAACTGTTAAGTAGTAAAGTGATAGCCAGGAAGGGGCACTTTGTTCTGTAAGGTTATAGAGATGGTGAGTGAGACAGTGGAGTCAGAAAGAAGTAGACTGACACATATTTCATCCTGGCTCATGGTCCCTAACTGGGGTGGGTAGGCGAGGAGGAAAGGAAAGGGATACGGTGAAGTGATTGGGGGAGGAGAAAAAAACATTGGAAAGGAGGTAGCTGTAGAGAAGGGAGTAGGGTGGGGGATTTCCTGAAATAGTGTTCTGGGAGAGGCATTCACCAATCAGGAAAGTAGGGATAGACAGGTCTCAGTGGAAGGGCTTCATATCTTATATAGAGTAGTTCATACTACAGTTATAGTCACACCACAGGTTTTTTTCTCCTAATGCAGACTGTAAAAAGAAGTTCCCTCCAAATGCAAAAAACAGACAGGGGAAGAAAAAAAAAAACTCTAGCCAGGAACTCTTTTTAAAAATCAGCCTGAAACTTCCACTTTCCTGGCTCCCACAGAGCATCATGCAACCCTAAGACACTCTGCCAACATCAGAGATAGTTTACTGTTGATCATAGGATTGATACTTACATGGGGCAAAGTGGAATAAAGAGAGGACTCTTGGGGGCTAGAGGAAGGCCACAGAATTTTGAATAGGTGAGTAGTTTCATCCAACAGTATGCACTCCCTGTCTGCTTTGCTTTTGAGTATAGTGATGTTTATATGGAAAGAAAAGGAGTTATTGGGGAGAGGCTTTCTTGGGCTGATTAAACATTGTTTCTTCTAAGTAATCAGACAAACCTAGGAAATAGTCAGCGTGTATATTCCTTAAACCACAGCCATATTCTTCCCAATTTTCCATTTCATTATATAGAAGGATTTGGCAAAAGATGGGTGCAAAAATGGAACCTGTTTTTTGTAAAGTCCCTTTGTTCTGACAGTGGTTTTAGAACATTAAATGAGCTATAAGTTGGATTATTGTGTTATTTATATTAATACCTTTTTCACTTTTCTTCTTGGCCTGAAGGAAAAATATCTCATTATGATTCATTAAACTGAATCATCGGATTATAGACTATTACACTGTTAGAAAGGACCTTGAAGATGATCTAATGTAAACCTCCCTCTCTCTCTCTCTCTCTCTCTCTTTTGTTTTTTAACAGAGGAGGAAATTTCTTCCAAGAGAGAAAGTAGTTTTCCATGATAGGAGGCCTAGGATATGCTGGGTACTAACCCAGTGCTGTTACTAGAAGCTCCACAGGATTATGCAAATTTAGTTCATTTCTTTGCCTTGTCAAGCACTGAGTCAAGGCAGCATGGTTATGCTGTTTAGTCATTTTTTCAATTATGTCTGACTCTGTGACACCATTTAGGGTTTTCTTGGCAAAGATATTAGGGTGGTTAGCCATTTCCTTCTCCAGCTCATTTTACAGATGAGGAAACTGAGGCAAACAGGGTTAAGTGACTTGTCCAGGCTCACACATTTTGGGCCTGAAGCCAGATTTGAACTCCAGTCTTCTGACTCCAGGCCCAGCACTCTACCCACTGTACCACCCAGCTGTCCCCAGGACAGCATGGTATAGTACACATATGTAGGCGTCAGCCTTCATAGTCAGAAAGAAAGGAATTCAAAGCCATTCCTCTGACACGTACTAGCTGCGTGGCCATGGGAAGGTCACTTAATCATTTAATTTCCTGAGCCAACGCACTAAGAGTCTGAGTAACATATGAATTTCTACCCCAGGAATTCCCTATATCATGTAAATCACCCGCTCAGACCAAGAACTAAATACCTACAGAACCAAAAGTACCACTTGAAGTAGACTCCTTTCATGTGGCAAATGTTTGTGTTAGTGTGCCTGTAGTTGAGATTTAATTCACTGGCTATTTCCCACGTCTGGAATTCTTTCCCCCCTCATTTCTACCTCCTGGCTCCCCTGAATACTTTCAAATCCCAGCTGAAATCCCAATTTCTTTAACAAACCTCTCCTGATCTTCCTTCATGCTAGTGCTCTTTTCTCTGTTAAATATCTCCAATTTATCCTTTCTATATTTTGTTTGTACATTGAGGTAGCTAGATGGTACCATGGATAGAGCACTAGGCCTGGAGTCAGGAAGATCTGAATTCAAATCCAGCTTCAGACACTTACTAGCTGGGTGACCCTGGGTGAGTTACTTAACCTCTGTCTGCCTCAGTTTCCTCATCTGTGAAAAGGGAATAAAAATAGTACCTAGGGTTGTTATGAGGATCAAATGAGATAATACCCGTAAAGTGCTTAGTATAGTGCCTGGCACATTGCAAGAGCCATATAAATATTAGATATCATTATTATTAGCTATTAGTTGTTTGCATGTTGCCTCCTTCATTAGACTGGAAGCCCCTTGAGAACAAGAACTGTCTTTTGCCTTTCTTTGTATCTTCAGCTCTTAGCGCAGTGACTGGGACATAGGAGGTGCTAAATAAATGTTTACTGATTGACAGTTTGATGTTCAGAAAAGAAATATGTATAAATATGTACATATATATCTGTGCATAAATATCTACACACACATAGGAATAAAGGAAAATGGGACAGTGAAGAGATTAAGTGTCTATGCCTGTAAACTGGTCATTTAGCCCAAGTTTTTGCCCAGACCTTTTGGTGGGTAAGAGTTAAGAGAAATCTGAGAAGTTTTTTGGGTTTTTTTTAATGTATCCTATTGGGCGGGGGGGGGAATGGATCTATGGTAAGTAGCTTTGTATTCATACATATAGTTCAGTGTGTACTATTTTAAATCAGCCTGGTATTGATGTCCACATTTTTGGAAGTGTGCAAATCACCAATTGCCCATTATGGAAGGGCATTTTCTAATTGTTATAAACAGCAGCTTGAAAATGATAGATTCTGAAATAATCAAAACTAAATGCAGTGAAAATTATAATGACCACACTTGGACCTAAAAAAAAAAAGATATTGGAAAATACTTTTTTTGGCTTCTTGGCAGAGGCAAGGGGCTCTATCTTATGTTGAACTTTTTCTGCATGTTAATAAGTTCTGCCAAACTTTTCATCTTTTTTCAAAAATTCTTTGTTAAAAGGGATTCCTTTCTGGAGTAAAGAGAAGGGAGAAATATAGTAAGAAATGTATGGGTATGTATGTACTTATGTATGCATGTATAGATGCATGTAGATACAGATATATGAAGAAAAAGGAAAAATAACACTGGGAAATGTAGGTGTATGTATTTATGTGTGTGTGTTTGTGTGTATAAACTCATCATTAACTCAAGTTTTTGCCCGGATCTTTTGGTGTTAAGAATTAAGAGAAATCTTAGAAGGTTTACTCGTGAACTCTGTTGAAAAAATGGATCTGTGCTATACTGGATTTGCTGTACAAAATACACACACACACAGAGGAGGCAGCTAGGTGGTTCAGTGGATAGAGCCCTAGGCCTGGAGTCAGAAAGACCTGAGTTCAAATCCAGCCTCAGACATTTACTAGCTGTGTGACCGTGGGCAAGTCACTTAACCTCTGTTTGTTCTTAATCCACTGGAAAAGGAAAACCACTCCAGTATTCTTGCCAAAAAACCCTGTGGACAATAGGGTCGTGAAGAGTCAGACACAACTGAACAACAACAACATATATAGAAGCACACACACATATATATACATATACATACTGATATATACATGTATGTAGGTTTATGTGAAGGTATATAATAAAAGTTACCAATGATTATTTATTTAAAATATATGTAAAAGAAAATTATAAATGATAGATGTTTGTCACTGGGGAATGGCTAAGCAAGCTGTGGCACATTAATGTAATGGAATATTACTTTAGTCTAATAAATGATGATTGCAAATACAAAGAAACAAAGAAGACTTATATGAACTGATCCATAATAGAGCAGAACCAAAAAAAGCAATATACACTCTACTATAACAATCAGAATTAAACAGTTGAAACTGACTTGTGAAAGTATAATGACCAGGCTTAGCCCTAAAGAAGATGGAAGAAGGCATCTCTCTTACAGGGGCAGAGAACTGTGGGTATGAAACACTACATGTGATGTCATCCTTTTTAGATGTGTTGGTTAGTTTTCCTGAACTGATGTTTAAAAAAATATATATTTTTCATTCTTTGTTATAAGGGATACTCTCTGGGAAAGCGAAGCTATATTGGGAAATGTTGGTGATAGAAAAATGTAAAATGGCAATAAAAATGTATTTTAAAAAGAAAATAATGTTATTACTAGCTATAATATTCATATGCCCTAGTCATCTCTTTCAACTTTAAAGCCAGTGATTTCTAGGAGCTCTGTATATTTCTTCCAATGTAGTTCAGCATAACTAGGAAAGAAGTGACCTCAAATCTGGTTATTATATCAGTCGTAAGGGATGAAAGGAAAAGATTGACATCTGCTTTTGGCTAAGAGATTTAAGATAGTATGTTTCAATGCATGGTGTTAAAATAATGCTGGTAAGCCATAGTGCATCATCTTTTCTTATAAAAATTTCAACTACTCTTCATACCACAAAACAAATGTCCCCAGTGGTCATCTTTTGATCTGATAATGGAAATGCTATGCCTGACATTGCTATACTATTAAATATTCAAGAACCATGTCTCTCTCTTCTCACTTATTTAGCCCTGGAATGAGACCAGATGTGAGCTCTTCTCCATCCAGTTCCTCCACAACAGTGGGACCACCCCCCAAACTCTGCCTCGTTTGCTCCGATGAGGCTTCAGGATGTCATTATGGTGTCCTAACGTGTGGAAGCTGTAAAGTGTTCTTCAAAAGAGCAGTGGAAGGTAGTATGTGTTTTGAAGAGTTTTTTTGGTTTGTTTATTTCCTATTCTTATAAATAGCATTTGAAAATAATAGGTTATCACTGGCTATGATACTTGGACGACCAGGTGTTCTCCTTTAGCTTCATGGCCAGTGATTTCTGAGAGCGATGCATTTATTCTGTCCCAATTTGGTAGAAACCAGTAAATAAATTAACTCCAATCAATGCGTTGTTTGGGTTTTTTTAAAATTAGTAACTAATATGTGGCTCTGTGTAAATATGGGAAGGCCCAGAAGTCACCCCTTGGAAGGGAAAGTCAAAGAGAAGATAGAGGGGAAAGAATCAGTTGGTTATCAAGCATTTATTAAAAACCTACGTGTGGGGGCAGGTAGGTAGTACGGGGGATAGAGCTCCAGCCTTGGAGTCAGGAGGACCTGAGTTCAAATCCGACCTCAGACACTTGATACTTATTAGCTGTGTGAGACCCTGGACAAGTCACTTAACCCCAATTGCCTCACAAAAAGCAATTAAAAAAAAACCCCTATATGTGGGGAAATCAAAAAATTTTGGAGGGGATTGGATGATTAGGGGAAAAGGAAAAAAAACTTATATGTTCTAAAATGTTTATGGCAGCTGTCTTTGTGGTGGCAAAGAACTGGAAATTGTGGGAATGCCTGTCAATTAGGGTATAGCTGAACAACTTGTGGTATATGATTGTGATGGAATACTACTGTGCTATAAGAAATGACGAGCTCAGTGATCTTAGAAAAGCGTAGAAAGATTTGCACAAAGTAATGAAGAATGAAATGAGCAGAACCAAGAGAACATTGTATACAGTAACAGCAATATTGTTTCTAGAATGACTTTGAGCAAATAAATTATTTTGACTGTTATAAATACCCAAATTGACTATAAAGGACATATGAAGAAAGATGCTATTTGTATCCAGAGAAAGAACTGATAAATAGAAGTATGTATAGAATAATTTTACATATATATACCTATTTGTGTCTAATGATGGCCATCTCTAGGGCAGAGGAGGGGAGAAAAGGGAAAAAAAGAAATTTATATAAGTTTGTTATATATTTAAAAGGAATTGCAAGTTGTACATAGTAGATTTGCAGTTTCACATACAATCTTTTTTTATTATTATTATGTTATGGAAATGCTTCTTTTATTCCATAAATTAAAAATCAAATAAAGTTTAAAAATTATTTTTTTATAAAACCCATGTCAGGTACTTTGATAGGTATTAGGGATATGAGTACAAAGAAGGAAAGAATTCCTTCTCCAAAAAAAGCTTACATTCTAATGGAGGAGAAAACAGTTTAAACATATGCAACATAAATATAAAGGGAATAAATCCAAATATACAAAATAGCTAACATAAAGTAGTTTGGGAAGGAGGGCACTAATAGTTGCAGGGATGAGGAAAGGTTTTATGCAGATGTGTCTTAAAGGAGGATGGAAGAAAAAGAGAACAGGCTTTTATTAAACACCTACTCTACACCGAGCACTACCCTAAAGTATTTTACTATTATTTCATTTGATCCTCACAACAACCCTGGGAGGTAGGTTCTGTTATTATCCCCATTTTATAGTTGAGGAAACTGAGGCAGATGGTTAAGTGGCTTGCCCAGAGTCACACAGCTAGGAAGTGTCTAAGTCGGCTTTGTCTTGACTCCTGGCCCAGCACTCTATCCGTTGCACCACTTAGGGATTCCACAGTCAGTCAGTATACATTTACCAAGCACCTACTTATGTGCCAGGCACTATGCTAAGCATTGAGGATACAAGTACAAACAAAATAAAAAAAAATTCCTGCCCTCAAGGAGCTTACAATCTAATGGGGAATGACGACACACAAAAAGAAGCTAAAAAGTAGGGTAGGGGAAAGGCAACCAGGTGAGGTGTGTTGGAGAGTTCCAGAGAAGTCTGAAAGCAGGGTAGCTGGTAAGAAATGGCAAGAAAGACTTTGCTGAGCCCCTTCTTTTAATAGAGGTCCTGGAGCCCAAGGCCCTGCCCTCCAGTCATAGGGTCCAGTCAGAGGTGCAGAGGGTACTGATGACATGTGAGTACCAGGCAGATCCAATCTTGCAGCTTGAGATTTCCTAATGATAAGACAGAGGTAAGGAGGGATTGTGTTTCAGGCATAGAGGACAGCCAGTATGAAGGCATGGAGATGGGAGGCAGAGGCCAGTTTTGCTTAAATCATAGAATATGAGAGGGAGGGAGGGAAAGTAATGTCTAGAGAGGCTGGATATAGAGGTTGGAGCCAGACTGTGAAGTTATGTGTGTGACATTTAAAGACCTTTACGATGTGGCTTCAGCTCACATTCCCAGGCTTATTATAAGCCCATTATTCTCCTTTGCTCAAGCCAGATTAGCCTACTTGCCATTCCTCATACACATTTCATCTCTCATCTCTGTGCCTATCCACAGGCTCCTTCTCATGCCCCACCTCATAGGATCCCTAACTTCCTCCAAAGCACAACCTCCAGGAGGCCTTTCTTGATACCTCTCATTGGCTAGTGCCTCCTTCCCCCCTCCAAAAAAAAATTACCGTATGTTTATTTTGTACATATTTTGCATTACTTATGCATATGTAGTTTCCCCCAGTAGAACATAAACTGCTTGAGGTCAGAACACCGAGGCCTGTGCCTAGCAGACACAGTAGATATTTCATAAATGCTTTTTGAATGATGTGAGTAGTTGGGAGGAGTGGGTGAAGGAAAGAAAATTCTCCTATTTTCTTCTTTAGGAAGGAGCAAACAAACAAACAAACAAAAAAAGGACCCTACTCACTGGGAAGACAAACTATTCCCGAGTGGAGGAAACAGTATTCCTATATAACATAACCGCAGGGAATCCATGCAGCATAGTCATATAGCAGAAGGTATCAGTGGCAGAAAAAGTTAGGATATCAAATTATTGTGGTACCTTTCATTAGCAATTGCTGTTGGATTCAGGGTCAAGATCACTGATTTGATCCCCTAGAGGTTAACTAATTTCACTATTTCATAATCCTAGGCTGTCCACTTGAGGTGGCCTATAGTCTCACATGGATACCTCACCAGAGAGGATAATGGGAGAAAATGTAGGTAGTTACAAACCCGTTCCCCAAGTGTAAAAACAGTCGGAGAAGAAAGAGGTCCCCTTGCAACGGGTCACTAGGAATATCTTCACAAAGGAAAGACATGTTGTTTCACATCTAGTGATGAAGAGAGGAAAATTCTTAAAATTCCATTGTTGCCTCTGAGTACTCTTGGAATAATTACATATTTTAATGGTTGTGTAAAGTAACTGGTAAACAGTATGGACTGAATGGGTGATCTAAAGCTCTGGTAATACTCATTTAAAAAAAATAATGTAGTCCATTCATTCACAGTCTGAGAAGGATTATTATTGTTTGGCCACAGTTCTGTTTGCATATTCTTGAGAGCTATGTGAGTCATCTCTCTTCCTTTGCTTAGATTTCTTTTTTAAGTATTGTAAATTACAAAATTGTCCATGCAGGTCCAACCTAAACTTTGGGTTATAGACCATTCATCAGTGGCTCCCTGTCTATTTTCCACTTTTGAAAAAGTTAAGAAGAGGGAATATATAAAAAAGGATTTATGTTGAGAAGGCACAGAAATTAGTCTCCCACTACTTATATATTAATGTTATTATTAATATTAAGAGAGGAAATGGATAGAAAGCTGGTCCCGGAGCCAGAAAGACCTGGGTTCAAGCCTTGTCTCTGACAAATCCTGGTTTTATAAGCCATATTGTACTTTAGGGTTTCCAAAGTGCCTTCTTTACAACTTGGTGAAGTACATAATATGGTTGCTATTATTCCCATTTTATAGATGAAGAAACAAAGGCTCAGTGACTTGCCTAGGTTAAGACCAAGTAAGTGCTGGTTAGGTTCTCTACCTTAGAAAGAGCCTGTTTAGTTAGAGCTTCTTTTCTCTTTTTTCATAGCTTTTTAAAACATTGGAATGCTAGGTTCTGTGTGTATACATATGTATATATTTGTACAGTTAGATTAGGTGATTAATGAGAAATGATTAAATGAAGAATATTTCCAATAAATCATTTCATTTCAGGGGAACTCATTTCCTTTTCTATAAGTGAGGGTTTAGACACATCTCTCAGTCTCCTTCTGTCTAGCATTAACCTTCTAGGTCCTGTAAGATGATCTTTAATCATAAGCAGGGTTGGTTTATTTTCTGTTTTTGGTTATTGGTTTTGGGGGTTCTTTTGTGGGAGGAGTAGTTCCCAAACCTCCAAAAAGCCATTTTTCTATAAAAACATTTCCTTTAATGTCAAGGCTGTTCAGTGAAAGAACCATCCAGAAAGATACAAAGTAACCAAATAAGGAAGGTTGATGGAAACTCTCATCTTGAAGGAAATGGGAATGAAAACTGAGTCATAGACTTTTGAGAGTCTACTTGGAAAAATCCTGAGATTTAGCTTGGATGCTCATTGGGCTCTAAATACAAACTGCTACAGGTACTTTAGGTGGTCACCCTATGTTAAAGGTGTACATGGGAAATATTGGGTTTTCTGGAAATTGGAGTCCAAACTAATTTAGTAAATTTAGTCACATAGAGTCCCACAGGGCTGAAACTTGAAATTTTTGTGCTCAAAACAAATATCACAAACCACACCCTCAACCCTCAAGTAGGGATGGGCTTTTTGCCTCCCAGTTGTTTAGTAGTTTCCCACTTTGACTTACTCTTCGGGCTTAGCTTTGTTCTTTCCTTGCTGCTGAAACAGCATGGAGCAGTGGATAGAGCATTGGACTTGGGGTCAGGAAGGTTCAGATTCCTCCTCAGATACTACCTGGGTAACCTTGGGCAAGTCATTTAATCTCTCTAGGCCTCTGTTGTGTCATCTGTAAAGTGAAGAATGCAATCTTGATGGCCTCTGACATCCCTTCCCATTCTAAATCTATGATCCCATCTCTGCCAGTACTCTCCAAGGTAGAACCTTGGGGCAAAACCCAAGCTTGCCCCATTCTGGTTCTAGCTCTGTAGTGAGGAATTTAACTACTTCTAAGTGGTGATTAGCACTGATCATTGTTTATCTTATAAATGTGACCAATACATTGAGCAGTTCCCTGTTTATACAGCATAAGCATAGGAGACCTTTGGTCTCTGTTTTCTGACATGGAGAAAAAGCTATGAATTGGGCTTTGTGCCCCTTCCTTCCTGCTGTTCTGTATCTCCATGAATAGCCACACACCTCTGAACCTTTATGCTTTTACATGCCTCCTGCCTTCATTCATCCTATTTCCTCTGCCTAGGAAGCAAATGTAAGATATCCAAAAGGCAGATTAGTGGTTGAAGTCATCCTTTATGGTAGTTATTTTGAGAAAAAGACAGAGAGAGACAGACAGACAGAGAGAGAAAGCACCAGACAGACAGACAGACAGAGATTAGATGGAAGTCTGCCCTGAGAATTAAAGAAGACCTTCAGGCATAGAATCATAAATTTAGAGCTGGAATGGACCTTAGAAACCATTGATTCCAACACCCTTGATTTAGAGATGAGGAAACTGAAGCCCAGAGAAGATTTTTAAATTTTAATTTAAAAACTTTTAATTAAAAATCTGTTTTCTTTCTCCTCTGACTTCCACTGGGGGGAAAAATAGAAATAAAGAAAACCCTTGTAACAAATATTGGCCATGTCCAAAAAATACATATCTCATTCTGCACCTTGAGTCTATCATCCTCAGGAAGATGGTAGAATGCTTCATCATCAGTCTTTAGGAATCATGGTTGGTTATTGGGTGATCAGAATTCTTAAGTTTTTCAAAATTGGTTGACTTTACAATGTTGCTGTTATTGTTTAAGTTGTGTTCCCCTGGTTCTTTTCACTTCAGTCTGTATCAGTTTATACAAGTCTTCCGAAGTTTCTCTGAAACCATACGCTTCAGCATTCCTTACAGCATGAGTATTCCATTACATTCATATACCATAACTTGTTCAGCTGTTCACCAATTGGTGGGCACTCCTTTAGCTTTCGTATCTTTTCTACTGAAAAAAAAAAGCTGCTATAAACATTTTTGTAATTGTGGATACTTTTCCTCTTTCTTTGGGTTACAACCCTAGTAGTCATATTGTTAGATCAGGTATAGTTAGTAACTTTTGATGTATAGTACCAAATCACTTTCCTGAGTGGCCAGACTGGTTCATAACTCTACCTGGACAATGCTGTAATGGTGGCTGTAATGGTGCAGGATGAAAAAAGGATGTGGGCCTAGTAACTTGCTTGCCTTACAGTCCAGGGTCCCTCTGCAGTCCTCTTCTGGATACTTTCCATAGCATGGGCTCTCCTACTATAACGGTACTTTTGGCAGAGTGTAACCCCCAATGAGATCAGACAGCCTTCCTCCTTCCCACCCCCAGTAGTTCCCCCAACTCCTGCCAAAGGATTCCAGCTGGCTGCAGCTGGGTCAGGGAAAAATCGACAAGACATTTTTTCCTCTTTGACTTCCTTGGCCCCCTTTGTTTGTTTGCTTCCTGTGGCTCAACCTGGGGCATGTGGCCCTAGAGCTTTGGTTGGTATGGGCAATAAGGGAAAAAAGTGAAAATTTTAAAAGGGTACTCCTTAAACTCCATTACCAGATATTCACAGCAAAATGCAGGGCTGGGAGACCTAGGAGAGAAATTTAGCTAGTCACTTTTCTCGACAATTCTCGGATTGCTTCATCGCTCCACATCTATCAGAGGTATTTGTATGGGAGTGCCAGACAAAAATTCTGGGGGTTGATACTTTGACACTTGATGGTAAATTGATCAGTTAATTTCCCAAAGGGTTTGCAGTGGTGAGCACATTTATAAGGTGCATACAGTGGTTCATGAGATCAAGTCTCTGATTCACCCATCATTGCCATCAGCCTCAAAGCATAAATCTAAATATTCTTTTTCCCCTCTGGTACTATATTTAAAGATAGAAATAGAAGTATCTGTTTTGTCTATACAGTATTGAACTAAAATTTCAACTTATAATTGGAGAGTTTCACATTGTAGTGAAACCAAGTCATAAGACCACATCATTTACAAGTGAAACTTGAACAACTCGCTTAACTTCCCTGGGCCCCATTTTCTTCATGTCTAAAATGAAGGAGTTAAACTAAATGGCCTCAAAGGGTCCCTTCTAGCTCTAAATCTATAAATATCATCTCCAAATTCTATGATCTTATTATAGTAATGTAGAGAAATTTTAGTTTCTAGAAGTTTTTTTAAGGATATTGGACTTTTAATGAGGTAAATTAAAGTCAGAAGAGATCACTTTTTTCTTTTTCTTTTCTCTTCTTTTCCTTTTTTTAATTGTTGTTTAACATCAAACCTTCCAAAATCACCCCAGCAAAATTCAAGTACTACATTGTGCTAGATTTAAATATACTGAATTCTCTCTCCCTACTCCCCCTCCAAAAAAAAAAAAACCCTCGAAACAGAGAGAGAGTAAGATAGACACTATCCACAAAATGAGCAGTATTTTAACATTCTTTTTTCTTTCTTTCCTTCTATAGGGCAGCACAATTATCTTTGTGCTGGAAGAAATGATTGTATCATTGATAAAATTCGAAGAAAAAACTGCCCAGCATGTCGTTACCGAAAATGTCTCCAAGCTGGAATGAACCTAGAAGGTAATTTAAAAGACTTGAGTGGATTGTTTGCCTCTGAATCACAGAAAAATGCATCAATTTGCTTTGTAAGATGTGAGTAATCAGGTGCAGTGTCTTGCTGTCTTCAAAACAGTTGAGTCATTATAGGGCATTCTTGACCATAATATCCATACTATTGCCTGGCAAAAGTACAGATTTTTCTCCTTCTTTATCATCATAGGTCCTATTCTGCCTATTTAACAGACCTACACACTACCACAGTTTTATCTACATGTTCTTCTTGTGCAAAGGGCACACTCTTTGCATTCACTGTAGCCAGACTGGAAGATGGGAAGGGAAATTATGCCATATGAGTATTATGGAAGAAAACAAGGCATTCTCTTTGTTCCTTTTGTGCCTCTGTAAAGCTTTCGAATGGAAACACTCTTCTATCAAATATGCAGTTGTCATTTTCTTTGTCATAGCCTTTTTAAGAATTCTAGTTCCTAAATGGTCCCCTTATTGGGGGAACGTATAGCCATTTTACCTTGTATGTTGGCTCACAAGTCAGGGTGGTTGATGAAGTGAGTACTGGTGTGGAGGTAACTTGGCACAATGGAAAGAGTATTAGCTTTGGAGTCAGAGGACCTGGGTTTGAATCCCATTGGTCATATTTCTTATAGAGTCTTGGAAAGGTCCCTGGGTCTCATTTTCCTCATCAGTAAAATGAAAGTATTGTTCTAGATGGTCCCTGTTCCCTATCTCTTCCATTTCTGTGAGTTTTGTTGCTCTCATCTTCTTATAATAAAAACCTTGTAAACTGAAAGATAATGCAGCTTTATTTTCCAAAACATTTTAATGTGTTATACACAAAGTAGTATTTTTTCGTTTTGGGAGTGTTTGAGATACAGCTCTAATTGAGATTGGAGGCTCCTCAAAGACATGATTTGTAGACATTAAATTAAGAGTTTTGCTTCATTATAGTAGCACTTGCCCTAGAGTGAACAGATATATGAGGGGAGAAGCAACTTGACCAGCACTGACCAATCACCCCAAGTACAAAGCATGGTGGGAAGGCACTGAGGAACATCAGAGGATTACTAGAGCTGTAGACTAGATGGGATGGGACTAAAATGTCTGTAGTTTTGTAGATCATGACTGCTTACCACTGTTCTGTTAAATTTTGGTAAAGTGATAGTATCTGACCACCGTGAAAGATGTATCATGTTTTGACCCAAAGGGGAAAGTTTTTAAACAAAAAAAAATGCCCCTCATGTCTGGAGTACACTCTGTCCTGCCTGCTGCCTCTTAGTATCCCTTATTTCCTTCAAAGTTCAGCTCAAATACCATTTCCTACATAAGGCCTTTCCTGATCCCTCAGGGCTAGTACTCTATTTCTCACCCCCCAAAAAAACTGAACTGTATTTTAATATACTTTTTAATGTATTTATATCTACACATATTGGCTCCCTGATAAAATGCAAGCTCCTTGAGGGTAGGGACTGTTTAATTTTTGTTCTTATATCCCCAACAATTAACACAGTGCCTGGAATATAGTAGGTAATTGATAAGCTTGTTAATTGATTAAGTAGGAATAATTCTGTACTTATATTTAAAGAGATTGTAAAGTTATTTAGTTAAGAAGTACAATCTATTTTGACATTTTTCAGTGAATAGGCTTAGCCCAAATAGGTCAAGAAGAGTGAAAGAAAGAAGGAAAAGAGGGAGGGTGGGAGACAAGGAGAGAAAGGGAAGAGAGAGAAGGAGGAGGGAAAGACAGAGAAGGGAGGGAGAGAAGGAAGGGAGAGAAAAGGGTAGGAAGGGATAGAGAAGGAGGAAAGGGAAGAGAAAGAAAGAGAAAGAGGAGAGAGGAGAAAGAGAAGAGGGAGGGAGAGAGAAGGGAGGGAAAGAAAAAGAGAAGGGAGGAAAGAGAGATTTAAAGGTTCATTATCCCCAGAAGAGTCTCATATACCCAGAATTTGTTGAGCGTACTGTGTTGATACTTCCTACCAACTGAATGATTTCTTTATTGAACTTATTTGGTAAACCATTTCAAAGAGGGAAAAAAATATTACCCTGGAAAATAGCCTCTGTCCTCCACTAATATCATTTAGGTAGTGATCTAATTAAAAGGAGCCCTGCTTTCAAAACGATGTCAGTAATACCCAGAAGGGTATAACTCCATATTGTACAACTGACATAGAAAGCATATAGTTGATTCTTCCCTCCCCACCCTCCCCCAGACAAGGTAGTATACAATAAGAATTTTTCTCCTGGGGAAAAATATTTAGCATTAGCAGATTCTAATTGTGTATTTAAAGTAAATAACAAATAATACCAGTAGGACAATACAACTGATTTGGTGTTCTCTTTGGGAGTTTGGTTTACTTTTGTTAAATGTGAAGTAGGTTGATGAGGTGTGACTTGTAAGCAAAAGCTCTTCCACAGACCAATCTGTCTTCCTACTTTATAGACACACCTTATATTATTTGAGCCAAACAAGTTTTCAATCAGTCTCCTAGTTACTCCAGCCCTATAGTCAGAGCCAATAGAAAGTACAGAATTGTTCATCAGTGAGACACACCTAAGCACCTCCTTCTGACCCTGATGAACTACAAGCAGCAGGGTGAAGAGTGCTGGCCTTGGAGCCAGAGACCTGGATTCAGATCCCACTCTGACACAGACTAGCCCAGTGATTATGGGCAAGTCATTTAACCTCACAGTTCCTGTAGGCAAATCTTTAAGAAGATAAAATTTAAAGTAGCTGCATATCTGTATCCTTGAATGGAGTTCCCACCCTGAGAGTCCCCAACATTAAAGGGACTTAACATTAAAGGGCTTGACAACAAAAAATGCTCAAAACTGGAAAATTGTGACTGATTTTGTTTTGAAGTTATTCAAGTGGAAAGATAGCTGTCCACCTAATGTAACTGTTCAGAAAACTAGGCAGGTCAATTAACTAATTGAACTGGGGAAGGTACTTCCTGATCCACAGGAGACCTTTTTGATTTTGCAAATATTGATAGATATTGCTAACTTACTGTGCTTGTACTAGGTCTCCTGCCAACGTGTGTTTGTTCTTTAAATAAATTCAACGAGTGTTTATCTATAATTATAGCATAATGACTTAAATTTGCAATACATATGTTAGCTCATTTGATTCTTACAACAACCCTGTGAGTAAGATATGTGCTATTATCATCCCCATTTTACAAATGAAGAACTGAGGCCGAGAGAGATTAAATGACTTACTTGCCCAGGGTTAGGTCATACAGCTGGTAAGTTTCTGAGACAGGATTTGAACTCAGGCCTACCTGACTGTACATTAACTTCATCCACTAGGCCACCCAGCTCCTTCATTAAGCACCTACTATGTGCTTAATGTGCTAGACTACACATATAAAAATAAAACAGACATTTCAAACTGGAATTCCACCAAACTTTCCTCAAGGAATTTATTTCTGTGGTCAGTTCATCTTTGCTAGTCAGTCTTTATGTTAACAATTGTGTCATGGGGCAACAGTTATGTGGTAGAGGGAGTTAATTTTTAACACAATGTCTGTACTATGTCCAAATAGGGAATGAGGAGGTTTCATAAGGAAGGTCTTCAGTATTTTGTCATAGATTGGTTTAATCTCTATACCTCTTTGTTCCTATCACACTGGCATTCTCCTCATCCCTGAAATGTTTCATCCTGGCCTTTCTGCTTTAACTTGGATAATCACTTTTATTCTCAACGAGCTTCCAGACAAACCCTGCCCAAAATGATTAATTCACTGCTGTGATTTCACATTAGGAAATTCTGATGGCTACTACTGAATTAATTCACATCCTACATATACAAATCATTTTCAAAAGAACCTAAAATCAGTAGTATTTGTATGGGACATTCCTCTGTAGAAGGAGACACTGTCCAAAGTTGAAGGAAATTTTAGTTCCAGCTCATGTTTATATAATACGTTAAAGATTTACAAAGGCATTTCCTTGCAGAAATGATGACTTTTCCAAATACCCACCAGTATCTATAGGAGTAGCTAATATGTTTTGAATATTTTTGCAAATATCAGTTTCAGTTTTTAGAGAAAGATGGTGTGTTAATATCCCCTCTTGATAGATGAGGGAACAGAGACTCTAAAAGGTTAAGTTACTTGTCCAAAACCATGTTGCTAATAAGTATGCTAACCAAACTTCAAAGCCACGTCTTCAGATTCTGGGTCTTGTGACCTTAAATATGTGACTCTATCTAAGGTAGAGGTTCCCAACCTTTTTAGTCCCTCAAGTTAGGGACCCCTGCCCTAAGGTAAGGAGAGCACATGAAGAGGTTCTATGTGTAAAAAATTGTCTCCATGCTTTAAAGACTTAAAACTATATCTTTTTCAGACTTTGGGGATTTTGCTGATGGAAAGAGGGCAGAGACAAAGACAAATGTGAGATTTGTATATGAAAAACAGTAATAAAGCAGCTCAGAGAGACAATGTCCTCATCTAGAGCAAGGTCTACCTCAGTGCCTTGTTTTCTAGCAGCTCATTTGTATATGACCAATGGAAAACTTTAGAGTTTATAACCAGGGAAGTCTGAACCCCAGAACTGTTTTTGTGATTATTAAACAAATGTTCATTGCTTGCTTATGGCTTAGCTAGCATAGATGAAGATTTGGTCATCTAAAATGAGGCCTTCCAATGAGCAGACCCAACCTTGAACCAGAAAAAGTAGGTCTAATAAAGGACCTCAGACAATGGTGAGAGAGAAGCTTTGTGTTTCTGTACTACTACATAACACTTACAAGAGAAGATATTCCTTTCTGTCATTCTCGCCACCTGCAGTCTGGGATGGAGGAATCCCTTAGGGTCCAACCAAGAAAGCAGAACTGGAGAAACTTCTGCAAATCCCAGCCTGAATCATTTACCCTTTCTGAAAGAGCAAGTGGCAGCTTACAGGAGAAAAATAGCATAACGCAACCTTGTTGCAAAGCAGCCCAGCTCAGCCATGAGCAACCTTGCAGCAAAGAAATCCTACACAGCCCTCACAGAGCAGCCTGGCAG